CCAACTATTCATAGTTGCATAAAATATTACTCATTTTTCTATACAATCTGAAATAAATGTCATAGCAATTAAAACATTGTTATACGCAAGTTAAGGAAATAAAAAGCTTAAGAAATATTTCTTTGTGGTTTACATTTACAGAAACAATACTCAGCTTAAAGTGGCTTCGCGGAAAGCATTGCTTGTTCCTTATTGTTTATGAAAAATGCAAAGAATATCAGCCTCTGGATGAAAGTGCTCTATGGTTTAAACATCAACTTTGCTGCGCTCTAACCTCGTATTTAAAAGTATTATTGTATTAAATAGCTATTGTTTAAACAGGTTTATATTTTAATATTCAGTTACTGGATTGGACATGTTTTCTTTTATATATTTACTAGCTGTCGCCCGCAGCTCCGTCGGCGAGGAATTAAAAATATGTTAATAAGTAGCCTATGAGTTACGTCTATGCCAAATTTCAGAGAGATCAATACTGCCGTTCTGTAGATACCGTCAAGCAAACATGCATCCATCTATTCAGTCATCCATCAATCTAAACATTCGAATTTATAATATTAGTAAGATTGTATGCTGTTGTAACAATATAACTAACATAAATTTTTACACAAATATATACATATATTTGTCATATTCAGTTTAATATATGGCATTTATATATCTATAAGGGTAACATGATTTGATATAACGATAACGTACACTAAGTGTACTCACGTACCCTAAACATAAACCCCAAAATGGCAGCTTACTGTCGGAAAGGGATACTTGTTATTAAGCGTTTTAAGTGACCTTAAGGTGTCACCACACGACCGTACAAGCCACATCATACATGCAATTAACCTAATTACTTTACTAACCTAAATTGTCGGCTGAACCTTTCCTATTTTAAAATATTAAAAACTACATTGATACTTTTTACTCCCACGTTATTTAATTAACTAACACACATTACGCGATATTGCAAACTACCTTTGGTCAGAGGATGTATTACACTACTGTTTTTAAAAGTCAGCGAGTAATAGATTTGAAAATAAGCTAAAATAACTCGGTTACTTAGTGAAAAATAAGAAAGAAGATTAAAAAAGGGTACGTAACCCGTAAACCATAAAAAAAAATATTTTAGAAAATCCCTAAAATTCTATACATTTAATTTACCTTCAAAAACTATATGTAAAGTTTACTTAAATGTTGTTTAAATGAGAATTAAAATATTACCACGTAATTAATATTAACTAGTCTATTGATTCATAACCAACGATTTTTTAAAATTTTTAATCAAATAACCTTTACGTACTTCTGCACAGGAAATATGTAATTTCAAGTTTTTCCTTTTGTGCAATTTTCTTAAAAAGCGGTGCACCTCTGGTATTAATATAATGATAGTTAACGCAACATTTAACTCCACAGTTTAAGTAGTTAAGATAAAGATAGAGCAATAAATCTTATTCTCGTTAGCAGTAACTCGCCGGTGAGAAATGGTCGAGTTATCGAATAGTTTAACTTTGCTTAAAATATGGGCTAAGACAAGAAATCGTTACGCTGTTTAAACTTCGGACCTATGTAATTTGTTAGAACTTGATTTTAGTTTATTTATCCCAAGCCTTAAAGCGCATCTGTCAAGGGCAAATGTTTTTTTTTTCTTTTCAAACGTATTCTTAAGTCTAAGTTTTTTCAAGAATTGTTTTCTCTGTCCTTTGTTATTAATTATTATTTGATCTTATTTTTGTACTACAGTTACTTACATAAATAGAGAAAAATTAAAAACAAATAAAATATAATGACCATTTAAAACCAACCACAATCTAAAAATAGTTGTTTCCAGAACTTGTGAGCCGAGAAATTTAGTATCCATATACCTGACGTCAGCTACATTTCTAGAATAAATTCTTACGAGAAAACGAACAGAAACTGTTACGTTGCAAAATATTTTAACTGCTTGTTTAGATTTGTCCTGTATTTTTACTACTGTAATATCTTTTATAAGCTGATGCCCACGATTTCTTACGCATAAAATTGAAAAAAACAACTTAATTAGTAGCCTATGTTCTTCTTGGCTATTTTCTACATCTATGTCAAATTTTAAAGAGATCCATGCAGTCGTTCTGCAGATAACTTTTAACATCCAGCCATCCATACATCCAAATATACGCATTAATATATAAGTGAGATATCACGCAAATAAAAATTACTTCATCTATTTGCGTCTTAAGTGCTGTTTAATACGAATATTATCTTTAACTAGTTTTAACAGGAATGAGGTCGTCGGATTAAATTCAATGTTCTTGAAATCTGTAGAGTAAAGCTTAATTCCATCGTCTGTAGTGCAAATACGGAGGATCGTGGGTAAATGAACAACTTTAATTTGGACGAAGCAAAGTAATTTGTTAAACAAAATTATGGAACGCAGCCGTCGTTCAAACTAATTGAAAGCAATATCTGAAACATTTTTTTTAAATTGAATTCGATGTATCTTGAAACTAATTCTAAGCAAATATAATACAATGTTCAAGTATTATGTATGGATGGATGTTTGTTTAAAGGTAACTCCAAAACAACTGTATCGATTTCGCTGTAATTTGGATGTAATTTGAAAAACATACTCTTCAATACATAGACTACTAATTAAGTTTTATTTATTCAGCGCGAACTGAGTCGCGGGAGACAACTAGTATAATTACAAGGAACATTTTTGTTTTCTTTAACCGTTTATTAAATGTATAACAAACGTTATGATGCATTTATGTACACTTGGAAATTAGTTTGCAGAGGACGAATACTTGCGGCTTGTCTGACTAAACATCGGTTACCAAACATGGATATACACCCTTAATATAATCTATACTTGATTTATTTACTTGACCAAAGGATAAGTGTAAGCTCCAAGATTGCACCGTAAACACTTCAACATTGGAGTCGACGTTGTTTTGTATAAGTAACGTAAACGTAGAATTCTACTGCCGAGACACTTGTATTTTTAAATATGCCGTCAACTTCATTCTATAAAAACAAAAAAGAGACGACAATATTTATTAAAACCAGTGATACGACAATGGAATTCTACTTCAACCTTGTAATGAAAACAGTGACATCTCTATCTTTGACAAAACAGAATGAATGTTTTACATATTACGTTGAGTTTGTATTTGGCATTTCGTTTTCGTTTAGTTTGCGTAGGACAGCCATTACTTGCCAAGCTATGATCTCTAAAATGTAGATTGTGCAAAATTTTAATGGAAGCCAACGTATTGAAAATTTTCCTAATGCAGCACATACATCTATTTCCCCTTCAACTGTCCAATCATCATCGTCAGCTCACTATATGTCCTTACTGAGGTGTTCAGAGCCTACCATAAATCCAGGGTGACTAGGCCATAGTTTACCACGCTGACCCAATGCGAGTTCATCATCATCACCTCACTATACGTCCCCACTGAGGGGCTCTTAGCCTACCCTAAGTTAGGGGTGACTAGACCATAGTCAACCACGCTGGCCAAGTACGGATTGGTTGTTTCACACATATCTTTGAATTTCTTCTCAGATACGTGAAGGTTGCATCACGATGTTTTCCTTCACCGTAAGAACGTCGGATAAATGTACATATGTAAATCGGAAATCGAAAAACACATTGGTATATGGCGGGATTCGAACTTAGGACCTGCAGATTGCAAGTCAAGTGACCCCTGAGCCACCGACGCTCAATGCGGGTTATTACTGTCCAATACGTATAATAAATTGTTAATAACAAAAAGATAATTCATGTTACCTACTACATTCGAAACATTTATTATCTTTGTATTTGAATTGTAGCTTAATTAGGTTTAAATAAAACAAAAAGGTCAAAATTATAAAAAGTTTAATAACCGATTCGTAAAAAATATCAAAAAAGACATATCTTAACAACTATTTAGTTATTTTAAACATATTACTTATGTAAACAACTGTATTATATTTAAAATATAATATTTAAAAAATATTAAATGCTATTCAATATCAAACTTATACTATTAAAGCAAAATATTTTGATTGCGTAAATCGTAAAAATACTCCTAATTAAAATGCATACTGATAACCATTGTCAAAAAGATTTAATTCTAAATCTAATATCTAAAACACTATGTTTTACATCATCATCATCATCAGCTCACTACAAGTACATACCCCACTGAGGGGCTCGGAGCCTACCCTAAGTAAAGGACGACTAGGCCTTAGTCAACCACGCTGGCCTATGTTTTACATAGTTATGAGTAACATATAATTTTTTATATAATCTTGAAACTAACACAAGAATTACATAACATTATATCTTAAATAGATTTTGGTATAAAGCACGTAATATTAAAAGTGTATGCTTATAAACGATTATTATTTGTTATTACCAAAAAATAACTGTTTTGTACAGTCAGCTGCATAAATATGTCATACATTACACACACACAAAGCTTCTAAACTTGTATAAACATTCGATTTGAAAAATATGTATGCATGTTTCTAACCATATATGTATATGCAAGGGATACGTACATAAGTATTTCTGAAACAGAAGGTTTACAAAGATGTTTACAGGAATGTTATATTTTTGCAGCTGACTGTACATGTGTTTTGGAAACTACATTTCGTATACTACTCTGTTTTTAATTTAATCAGTCTTTGAATATCATTCACAGAAAACGCGATGTTATTAAAAGATTTCGAGAATATGAGTTTTGCTAGCTTAGCTCTTAATAACAAACGAGCTGTTCTTAATTATACTAGATATTAGCGCTAACAATCTTACAGAAATAGTCTTACTAAATAATATTTTACCATATTTGGTAAGCAATAAGCAAAGAAGACATTTTTGTTTTTACTTTATCTTAGGGAATTTTAAAATATAGTATGCAATATGTCATATACTTTTTATTGTAAACTTGTAACTTATTGTGGGTTTCTGAGACCCAAATTTTAAACTGTTTAAAACATTGTTATCTCTGTTTTGTCAAAGATCATGACAGGGATGACGACATACTTTTAAAAGTGTTTTAAGTCTCAGAAACCAACGGTCATTTAAATAACCATGAAGATAATAATATTACATTAAGATGTATTCTTAACATCTTTAACTGAGTTTAACTCAGTCAACTCAGTCTCTACTAAACAATCTTTATCTATCTTCGCATCATCTATATATAAATCACCTTGTAATAAAATCTGTATATCATGCAAGCTCTTATCACGTGTTTCAGGCACAAAGAAATAAGTGAAAACAGCACCACTAAAAGTCACGAACGCAAAAATCCAAAAAACTCCAGTCAAACCAAGTAAATTTTTCATAACTTGATATCCTTTTCCTACAGCAAAACCTAATAATCCACCTAGAATATTTAATGACGTCATAGCAACCGCTTTTACATTTAAAGGGAAGATTTCCGCGGGAACAATTCCTATGACAGAGTTGAAGCCTAAAGTAGAGACTACAGTTGATAATAGGATACCAATAAATGTGATTATTCCGTAAGGACTAAGTGATTCGTGCTCGATTTGAACAACGTCCAATAAGAAGAAGTAACAGCCGATAACTGCGTAGGAGATTCCGGTGCTTAGGAGCGTGTAAATAATCAAAGGTCGACGTCCAATCCTATCCACGAAAACTGATGATATCAAAGCTGAAAAATTTTGATGTTGTAGTACGGATATTGTCTTAAAAAATCTTACTAATATTATAAATGAGGAAGTTTAAATGGATGGATGTGTTTAGAAGGTATTTCCAGAACGGCTACATGAATCTCGCTGAAATTTGGCATAGATGTAGAAAATATTCTGGAAGAACACAAAGACTACTTATATTCTTTTTCTCCGCGTAGACGGAGTCGCGGGCGACACCTAGTTATTTAATAAATTGACAACTCACTATAGGGATGGGTGTTACATATGTACTTGACTATAAATCTTATCGATTATCGATAGTTCCCATATTACTTTGAATTTACAGTTTTATTATTCAATATTAATTATAATACAAGTCAATTATTTCAGTTAGTTTGTATAATATAATAAAAATATACTTACAGACGCCAAACTTGACAGCTCCGAACACAATGGATATAGTGGCAGGCGCCATTTTGAATTTGCTTTCTTGTACGATGACTATCAAATATTGTTGTATAGCCATGCCGCCGGTCAGAATTTGCGTCATTTTCATGCCTAGAATATTTTAATATTGCACATACATAAGAAATAACAAAGATAAAGATTAATTTTGTATGCACTTAAATAATAGAAGGTAAAGTTTTAAGTTCTATGAAAGTTCTAGAAAAAAAAAATAGAATACAAATTCAATTAAAAAAAATTTTGAAGGTCCTAAAGCGTAATCATACGTCAGTTACGTACCCGCAGCTATAATCACGGCTTTCCTGTACTGCTTGCCAGTGAACAGTTCTTTTGCCGAACTTGAACTACGCATTGCATTCTTAACACCGCTTTGCATTATCTGTAATTCTTCTTCTAATGCCTTGAGAAGTAAAAAAAAATTAAGTGTTATATTTGTATAACATACTAGCTATAGCCCGCGACTCCGTTCGCGCGGTTTAAAAAAACTACGTAAGTAAAAATATGTGTTCCTCCAGACTATATTCTAGGTCGGTCGAATAGTTCTGGACATACCTTCTAACAAACCATGCATACAAACTTTCACATTTATAATATTAGTAAGAGTAAGATTTATTTGTATAAGAACATCAACATCTTAATATCAAAATATGCAATGACCTTTTAGAAGATCTGTTCTACAATATCCAATATTTCAAAAAATTTCAACCCAGTTTTACAATTAGGTATTAGTTAAAAAAGTGTTAATTTATACTCGTAGAATTATAATAAACTGTAATAATTAATTATACTCACATTAACGTCTGAATTTCTTAATTTTGCCAATTCAATTCTCGCGGCGTTCACACGACCTTCCTTCAGATAGTAATATGGTGATTCAGGTATCCACCAACAAGCGAGAAAATATATCACAGGTAAAGGAAGCAACGAATAGCTCAAAACTTCGTACGATAAAAATGGACCAACACACATCACTAGCAAATTGCCGAAGTTAAACATAAATCTTGTTACTACGTTCAAGGATCCTCTGAGCTCTTTATATGATATTTCTACTAAATACATTGTTATTACCTGCAAAGAATTACAAAAGACATTTTTCTATATCATAAATTGGCAAACGAGCGAGGGTCCAATACAAATCGCTAATAAAGCTAAGTGACCGTTGCCCATAGACGTACGCAATTACAGATGCGTTGCCTACCTTTAATCGACGGAGGAGGGGATGCTTAAAAAGGGAATATTCTCCATTTCCATGCATTCTCATCCGGAAAATCAACTTCCCATCATTTACTTATAACAAAAAGGGTGGGAATGAAAACCGGAGTAAAATTAGGCCTCCGGTACCACACTCCATAAGACTTTACGCGGAATTGCTTACACTTGACGTCTGTCTTCTGTGTGGTCGTGGTACTGCACCAGGCGAACCGGCCAATTCGTGCGACCATGTTAAAGCGGGCATTGTTATCATGTCCCTCTTAGAAAAATATTCTTCTCGTATAACGAGTTTGTAATTTTGTACCCAAAAGTGTAAATTACGAAACTGTACCATTAAACACTTACGGTAGACAACATTCCTGTACCAAATCCCCAGAGAAACTTTGTAATACACAGTATCCAACCATAAGAAGCATATATCACGAACATCTGAAAATATTAAACCTCTTTTGGTAATATTGTATAAAACAGACAACATTCTCGCTCTATTTAATCTTTGGTAAGCTTAAAAAAAGTAAACATAGTCTCATGACTTTGTTATTCGGATTAATATAAACGATATCGATATTTACAAGAAACCTTCACGACTCTGTCCCATCCCTATTTGTCTCTCTCTTTCGCCCTTACTCTGTCACTCTCGCTTAACGTCTCTTTTACTATACCTTTTTGTCTATCTATATGTCTCTTTTTCTCTACCTGTTTCTTTCTCTGTCTTTTTCTATACTTACCGTTCCAAGAGCAATAGGTGCTGCACTTGATAGCACAGTAACTCGGCGGCCAAAGTTATCAGAAATGTACCGAGTGACAAGACTGCCGGACAGAAAGCCCAAGGGACTCATTGCCACCATCCATGATGCAACATCCTAAAAAATAAATATTTTTATTAAGATTTTTTTTTGGTAAGTTTGTACTATTTTTTTAATTTTTAAAAGACGCAAATTCTTACTTAAAGTTAATAAACAAATGAATTCACTACACAAACAAGTTTTTCAATTTCGGCCGGTTTCCACTCTCGAAACATTCCTACTGAAACATATTATCATCACTAATATTCTCCTTGAAAAAACTGGCATATTTTCGTGCTAGTGTTATAGCAGTGGAAACGCACGGTTAGATGATTACTACATAGACCAAAAATTAGAGTAGCTTAATAACCGAGTAAACTCTTACATCTGTAACTCGAACATTTGTTTCGTTGTGGTGAAAACGCGGTAACACGATTGTGGGCCACGCCGAAGACGCACCCATCGTCAGTGTTGCCAGCGACACTGAAATAAAAACATTTCTACTTATTAGTATTAGTTACCCCAAATATAACACTTTTCTACATAACAAAGTAATTTATTTTTAGTTCTTAATACGCCATTTAAAAGGTAAATGAGAGATGTTTATAACTTACCAGAAAATGCTACAAGAAACTGCGCTCCTTTGCCACGATCCATTTTCTTAAAAAAAAAAAAAGAAAGTAATTAAAAAAATAATAGAGAAAAAACATGTACTTAAAATATATTATCACTTAACAATATATAAAAGGCGCGAAACAAAACGTAAAGAAATGTATAAAACAAAAACACGTCAATGAAAATAACTTTTTAAATGCATTTTAAACTTACGCGCAAACAAAATGCTAAGAGTACACGTGTGTAAGTGACGGTTATGAGTGACGCAATTATACTGACCAAAGTCAATGACGTCTTCTGCTTATATTGACCCTTGTTTATTTAAAAAGGGCTTTCCCCGAAAGTTATACACGGACATGAACGTAAAAAAATAAGTTTAAAATGTTGGTAATATCAACTAATCTAATCTACCACTAGTACATACATATCTGATATGTATACAATGAACCGCAATTTCGCGAACTTGAGTATCAGCGTTGATTACAACGATAATCCAGTTTCTTGTCTAATTCGCGTAAGTTCTGTGTTTTTTTTTTAATTCCGCATTGTTGAAGTCGCGGGCGAGCGTTAGTTATACTAATGTTGCAAGGAGAAATAATTTGCATTTTACTATTGATCAATTCATGAACATGAATTTTGTTTTGAGTATTTATCCACCCAAGAAAAGCTTGAGTAAGCCACTAGAAACCGCAATATTATGTTACTAGGAAAATTAACATAACACATAGTATTATCTCAGTTTTTTCAAGTAGATTGAGAGAGATGGCATATGTTTTATTAATGTAATTAAATTGTAAATTTTCATCTATTAAAATAAATGTATAAGATCTAATAACGGTTAATGTATTTAAATTATTAACGGCATTTAAAAAACTTTGGGAATCTCCGACGTAGTTTGTATGTAATGCATTTTAACAATGTATGTATTATCGCGTTAGGCAACATTGTTGTAATCAAACCTTAACTATAGGTTTTGACAACCGTGACACTTGTATCAACACATATCGTTTTCTCTGTTTTTTTGAAAGAGAATATGAGAGATAACAATAGCAGTTAACGGCAATGGAAACCCACAATAAGAATTCCATTTCACAGTTCAGAGAATAAAAACAACTACATAAAGACCTCTTATATTTTTGTTTTGTATAAGGTTCCTGTGAAGATAAGGGCATATGTGATTATGTTAGCTGTGAAAGCTATATGACTAGTCTAAACATATCTACGTACATACAACGTTATGTAGATAATTCATTTATTATCGTTATATTTAGCAAGCGTTACAAGCATGTACGAAAACTACAAACAATTTCAAAATCTCACAGTGATATTTACGAATTACAATAATATACTTCGATTTCATTTTTTCTCATCGAAGGTCTTTTTTTAATCTATTTATTTTTACTTAAGTGTAAATGATTTTAGAATCGCAATAACAAAAAAAAAATCGTTTAGAAACAGATCCGTACTTTTATCTGCCCATAAAAAAAGTTAAAATTATCTTCAGTTCCATAGTAATGATTATTGAGTTTCGCAGTACACATAAACCTAGAACGCTTATCTCCTTTTGCGATTTGCAACGTCCACAAACCGAAGCCCATCCCACAACAAATAAGTTACGATAATGTAGCGTAGAATTATTATTTTAAAATATCGATCGCCTTCGTATTAAAACAAAATCACTAACATTTTTAATTCAATAAAATTATTATTTAAGTTTTAAGTTAAATATTTCATAAAATATGATTGTTTATACCTTTAATTTGCGCCAGTATTTTGGTTAAATGTAAAACGGCCGTTTAATCCATTCTTCTACAATATTATGATTTTATCTGAAATTTAAAAAGCAAAATTAATTAGATTGTCAACAATTTAAAGAGCATAAATACGTAATAATAACTTGTCAATGTATCTCCCTTTTTTTTTTAATTAAAAGAACTCTTGGTTGGAGACTGTTGTTTAGGACTGAAGGCTTGAAGGTGAGACTACTGAGGCTTGCATTAATGAGATTAAACTTTTAATGTTAACATACAAGAACTCTGAGTAAAAAAAATAAGAATTTTAACTAGGATGAATTATGATACCATAAATGGTATCTGTATTTAACTATTAGTAGGTGTAATTTATCTTACAAACCATACTTTTTTCGTTGTACTGTATGTTTTTTTAAATAGCTAAGTTACTTCCTTTTTGTCTCATTTTTTGTTTGTAGCCAAATATATAAATGTCTTTGGTTATGACTCACTGTTTATTTCGTTTTATATGAAAAACGTTTTACGTTTTCAGTATGAAAAACTTGTTGAAAAATCACTAAAATTTCCGTAATGAAAAAATAATGATAAATCAAAAAAGGTAAACAAACGATAAGGTTATATTAATTATCTCAGACTTATTAAGAGGTCAAAGTTCATTTTCATAAAAGTACCAACTGTAACATATCAACACCCATATTTTTATTATAATATTATTAAAACAAGACACTAAAACAAGACAAACATTATAGAGAATTCTGCGATCTACATGGTAAGCTCTGTTCCGTTGTTCACTCACTCACCAATCGCAACAAATCGCACAGTTAAAATCGCAAATCTTTTTTTGCGAAACCATACAATTTTATTTTAATTTTTTATTTAAACGTATTGGTTTCTAATTTTTGACAAAATGTTGTCTACTTCAGTATTATATTTAGGTTTAATTTGATTTTTATTGAAATTTAATTTCAGATTCAGTTCTAATCTAATCACATGTTTTATAGCCTCTTTGCTCTTTGCTCTTTGCCTTCATATACAAAAATTTTTTTAGTCGGCAACCCCGATTACAATTTTAGAAGAAAGTGTCGTGTGGCAGGTTTATATAAAAGTACAAGTTAAAATATTTACTGAATTGTAAACTAAAGGTTAACCCCGATGTCTGAACACGTATTACCGGCCGAAGAGCCGATACGGTTTATAGCCCCAATTATTCAAGATAATCCTACAGGATGGGGGCCCTGCGAAATGCCGGAGCAATTTAGGGACATGCCCTATCAACCTTTCAGCAAAGGCGACCGATTGGGAAAGATTAGTGATTGGACTATGGTACAAGACAAGAAGTATCAAAGTAAGTTCTATCACCATAAACGTAACTAAGATAATTATTTGGATTTCCAATGAAAACATTTGAGGTTATGTCATACTGGCATCAGTTTGTATTTCCATATTGACATTGGCACGTATTTCAGATAAGTACGCTTCACAGTTTGGCCCTGGTTCTTCTTACGCTTACTTCCATGATGAGGATGAAAGCACTTTCCACCTGGTGGACACGACCAGAGTACAGAAGCCACCATATCAACGCGGCCGTGGCCGAGGACAGAGAGGCCGTGGTGCCAGAGGAGCTCGCACACCTGGTGGCATGACTACCTTGAACAAGGTATTTTTTTTATACTGCAATAAAGTTAAAGAATATTAGGAAGATATAAATATTTACAACTTCTCTTACAATACCATACAGTTATTACATATCTGTTGACTGGCATAAGGCATATAAATAGGATACAAATTTAAAAGTACTATTAAATTTATCAATATTTTGTTAATACAATAGTGTAAACAAACTGAAGACTGGGCTGAGTAAATTACATTGAATGTTAATTTGTAAGTTATTTTTAGCAACGAGACCGTAAGCTTGGTAAGAGGTGGGGTCAGCGTGGTGCCCCAATGAAGATCCGAGATGCCTCCGTCACTGTTAGACCCACCTGGGTCACAATTGAGGACATGGACTTTCCTCGTCTTGCTAAACTCTCTTTGCCAGGAATCAAAGAAGGTTTGAAGTTACATTTTTCTCCTTATGTACTTATCATATTTAGTTGTGAAAAATATAGCTTTTATATGTGAAGTATAATTTATAGAATTTCTAAAAATACAAAATAGAATATGTTACATAAATAATTTAAAAGCTTTTGTTTTTTGAAGTATCACAAGTTTTGTTTATCTAATTTTGATGAAAACTTAAACCAACTTGTAATATTCAGGTGAAGACATTGTATGCTGTGGTACACTGGAGTACTATGACAAGGGATATGACCGTGTAAATGTCAAGCATGAGAAGGCACTGCAGCGTATCGACCGTATCTTCCATACGGTAGGTATTTACTTATATTTCCTAATTGTGTGTTAGTGAACTCTTCTATTCTTTTGATTATGAATTTGAATAGATATCAACATAGATAGGAGGAGGAGGATAGATTGGATCTTAAGAGCCAACTCAAACATTGCATGCTATAAATTACAATGTGGGGTAAAAAAAATCTATTTTGCCATATTAAATTACTTTTTAGTGAAAGTAATATGACTTGATTTAATATAGAACAAAAATTTATTTATTTTCAATCTTACAGGTAACAACTACCGATGACCCAGTGATCCGACGTCTCAGTAAGACGATGGGTACGGTGTACGCGACTGATGCCATCCTGGCCACAATTATGTGCTGCACCCGATCTAACTACTCATGGGATATTGTCATTGAAAAAATTGGTAAGTAAATGAACAAATATACTTCTGTATAACTTAGCAAGAAATGTAAAATTACATCAATAATTTTACATATTATATTAATTTTTCTTCAGCTTAAGAATAGATATGAATGTCTGTTCCATCATAACTTCCCTTAACATAACACGCTAGACAGATTTTGTAGTATTATAAGTAATAGCTGTGCCCCCGACTTTACCTTATTTACATCAAAGGAACAGCCTAAAAACTATATTTACATCAGAAAGTAGCATATGTCCTTACTTTGTCTCTATCTTTCTACCAAATTTAATTTAAATAAGATCAGCAGTTTTGGAGTGAAAGCAAGAGAGACAGAGTTACTTTTGCATTTATAATATTAGTCAGGATTTAAGGTTTTCTTTGGTACTGTATGTGAGTTGTTAATTTATTGCTTTATGTATCCAGGTGACAAGTTGTTTTTGGACAAGCGTGATAACACGGAGTTTGATTTGCTGACTGTGAACGAGACGTCAGTGGAGCCGCCCGCAGATGATGGCAACTCTATCAACTCTCCGCGCAACCTCGCACTAGAGGCCACCTTCATTAATCATAACTTCAGTCAGCAGGTAATTATAATAACTATAGATTTTAATTAGGCAAACTTTAAGACTTTTATCTAACTCAGACTACATAGATCTATGTTCTAGGGTTAGTAACAACTTAAAAACAAATGTAACCAACTATATAAAAAGAAGTGAAGTTCCTCAGTGATATCAGAATACGATAGCTATAAGTAATATTTCTTTATATTTATGCAGGTGTTGAAATCTGGTACAACCGAGCCGAAGTACAAGTTCCCGGAGCCCAATCCGTTTGTATCTGAGGAGGAGGACGGCGAAGTCGCCTCAGTTGGATACCGCTACCGCAAGTGGAACTTGAATAATGGTGTTGTAAGTAATTGAAACTTTAATATTTTTTTACTTATAGTAAATGTTAAGTAAACCATACCTTAATATGTCAGTGAAAATCCTGTCCAGATTGTCTAAGTCATTGTTGATACTGGCGCATGTGAAGACGTCTAGAGAAATAAATAAAAAAGTTATTTTGAGACCAATACCATAGATTTACTTTTATTACCTGTGTAATGGTTTTTCACATATGTTTTTATATGCAAATGTTAAATTGTAAAATGTGTTTTGTTTCCAGGTTCTAATAGCTCGGTGCGAACACGACGCGGTGCTGCAAGGTCCGCAGAACGAGACTCAGTTCCTGTCCATCAAGGCGCTCAACGAGTGGGACTCGAAGCTGGCTAACGGAGTCGAGTGGCGGCAGAAGCTGGACACCCAGCGCGGTGCAGTGCTAGCCAACGAGCTACGTAACAACTCCTGCAAGCTTGCCAAGTGGACCGTTCAGGTATAGTTCTTTTCAAATAACTTAGCGTTATTTCAACAGGTTGCAGAATTGTTGACTACCTCTAAATTACAGTGCAGAAAAAGTTTATTTCCTTTCCTTACATATACCCAATCAAATTCATTTAAAAAATGGCCATTGGGGAAGAAGAATAAAATTATGTCTGTAGCTTTACGTTCTTGTGTATCCAACTTAACATGATTGATAAAATAAATAAATATAAATGTATGTATGTGTATGTCAGGCGCTGCTGGCTGGCTCGGACCAGATAAAGTTCGGGTACGTGTCGCGAGCGCAGGTCCGTGACAACTCGCGTCACGTCATCCTCGGCACGCAGCAGTTCAAGCCGCACGAGTTCGCCGCACAGATCAACCTCTCCATGGATAACGCCTGGGGCATCCTGCGATGCATCATTGATATCTGCATGAAGCAGAAGGACGGTCAGTACAACTTTTTTATCACTTCGACTTGTTCTTGTACGAACAACGTAAATTCGCCGTAATAGCGAAGCGACCGTTGACTATAGACAACTACATCGCCAAATTCACTTTCCCTTCCAATCATTTCCTTATAAAAAAATGGGTGGAAGCGAATGTGTGTGATGTTCTTACGAGCTCTAACATTGTTAAATGTCTACTATGAATGTCAAACTTTTTTCTGTCAAATTATTCAACACTATACAGCTTTATTTGACACTTTGTTTGATAAGTAGCTTGTCCAAAGTCAAATATGTATGGATGACTTGACCAGAAGTATAGCCCTAACGATTTTAATGATTTTTCGAACGATGACATAAATATATTAACGTTAATTGTTTTTACAGGTAAATATTTGATAATGAAGGATCCCAACAAGCCGTTGATTCGTTTGTATGATATTCCGGACAACACTTTCGAATCAGACGCTTCAGAGGAGAGCGGTGATGAGCCTGCGGACACTCCCTTCGCACCACTCTATGCATACGGCAACAACAAGAGGGTCTGATGCTAACAGATCCAATTTTACTACTTATTTTCTAACCTATATATGTATTACAGATTTGTATTCATGATAATAAATTGTTTCGGTCACATATTGGCTTATTTTATTTCCTCTGTAATGTTTCTGTTTACATTTGCTTAGTTTTTTAAGATGGAATTTTTTAATCCAATTAAAGTATCTAAAATATATCGCAAACATAATGTATTTGCGTTGCTTATATTTTTTTTCTAATAATTGCTTTTATTTCAAAAAATCTTGTATGTCTGCATTTGCTCAGGGTTATCTTTGAAACGAATGGACCAATTTTCACGAGACTTTTCCTGGTAGGTCAGTCTCTCTCAAAGTGGGCGATACCGCCCCCTTGTGGACGATGCAGGTTATAGTAAAAGTTTCGTTTAGAATTTTCCGTTAATATACACATATAGGTCACAATAATTAATTAATTTAATTTGAAGTTATACTGGTTTTTAAATATGTGAAAATATGGCGCTAAAAAAACATTTATTATCAAAGTGGGCAGTAGATAAAATAAGTTTGGGAACCACTGTGGTAAGTAGTCATGTGTGCTGGAATAAATTGGACTACTTTTTAATTTTACGCCGACGAAATCGCGGACAGCAGCTAGTATAATATAACTGAAAACAATAAATTCCAGAATGAAGAAATCATAAATTTTTGAAAAAAATATATATTAAAAACTAAAACAATTTACATAATTATATAAGTATAATAAACAATTCTAGGCTTCATCTGTCTTAGCTCTAGCCTCTGTGGCATTGAACGCCTCAGCCTCCAATTGACGAGGTCCCTGCATGAACTCCTGTATCTCTTCCAGACTCTTACCTTTCGTCTCAGGAACTAGAAAATACACGAAAAACACACCAACATACGCAATGCCCGCGAATATCCAAAACACAATATAATGTCCAAAATCATCTTTTATACTTTGATATGATTTTGTCACCGTAAAGTTAAGTATACAAGAAATCATAGTAGCCGCACTTGATGCTACCGTTTTCACATTTATTGGGAATAATTCAGCTTGCATTATATAAGGTATCGTGCCAATACCTACAGCGTATAAAATATTAAAACCTAAAACTCCTATTAAAGGCACGGAAGATAACGCTTTGAGGGTTGCGGGATTTATTTTGATATAATCTTGTAAAAAAAAGTAAATTCCGACAGCGGTTAAAGAAAGTGCAACACCAGAACAGGATACGATCATAAGGACTCGTCGTCCGTAGTAACCGGCCAGGAATGTTGCTCCTACACCTGGAAGATAAAAAAAGGATGTTATTAAACTAACGACACCTACAAACAATAACTAATTAAAAAATCTATAAAAGAAGTCTTGAACGAAATAGCAATCATCAATATTGGACCCGTTCTTTAGGCTTAATAAATGTACTAGAAAATACCCTCTTATTAGTCAGAAAATTTACTATCTTAAGTTTTGCCAGAACCTTATTTTGTATAATAACTCACCTGCACCTAATTGGACAAAGCCATATACAATACTGACGTAAGGTCCCGATATCGAAGTGCTATGGGTAAAGATGATTTCTAAATAAGACTGAATCGCCAAACTACCCGTCATATATTGAAATATTTTGAGACCTGAAAAAAATATGAAAATAACATTAATAATATTGTCTGCATGCCTTAGATGCAATTTTTTTATTATGATTTATCTTTACCATTAGGAAAATAGTATGTTGCCAAAGAGCTATCGCAAATAGGAAGCTACAAACGATAATTACAGTAAGTTATTATTTTAAAAATATATATTATAAATTTATGCCTAATATTTTCTAACGTCGCTTACAGTGCTGTCGACCACGACACAGTCCGCGCGGTATTGAAAATAATAAATTAGTAAGTAGCCTAAACAAAATACGCGCTATACGTGGTGTTACGGTAAACCTAACCTACTACTACCACTACTAAGTAACCTATGTGTTAATTCAGACTATTTTCTGCATCTATGTCAAATTTCATCACGATCCATTGAACCGTTCTGAAGATACCTTGTAACAAACATCCATCTATTTTAAACATTCGCATTTATAATATTAGTAAGAAATAAGATTAGGCATTCATTCTAAAGATTAATATAAAAATTATAAATATGACGATAAGTATCTAATCGTCTTGTACAAAAATACATTTATTTTTCTCCTGGTGATTGAAATATCGAAAGAGCAACTTATCGCTGTAATAGGCGGAAATAGAGATAACGACAAATATAAAAAGACCCATATCATTAGATTGAACATTATCTAAAGCACAGATAACATATACAAGTTGGAACTCAGACACAGACTCAATAAAACTTACAGATAAGAAATCATCTCCTATCTGTAAACTTTGTTGCTAATGAATGCTATAACACCTTTCAAATACAATTGTGCATGATTACGCTATTCTCGGTAAAAATCAAGTAAACAGAGAAACGTCAATTTTTGTGAGGCAAAGTAATGTGTATATACAAGGGCAGCGAATGTATAAATGTTTTCAGATATCTTGGCGGTGCAGAACAAAATTTTAGGTTAGGTGTAGCGGGATGCGGGGGAGGGCGTCACGCAGCGCGCCAATGGCCTTGGGCCGCCAAGATATTTGAAAAGACATAATAATAGTGTTTGAGAAATTGTGTTTACCGTATTTTTCGTAATTTTGCAAGTTTAATTCTAGCAATAGGATTAAAAGTGGCTTTACATTAAAATCAAACGTACCTGCTATAATATACACAGCTTTCCTGTATTTAACTTTGCACAACAGTTCTTTTAGCGTTGATTTGTTTTCCATACTTTCTCTCACATGCACTCGGATTAGGCCCAATTGTTGATCAGCCCACTAAAAGAATTAAGAAAGAATAATGTAAACATAATTTGTTTACTATACAAGACAATGTAATAAATGAAAATAAAACAATGTAACAATATTAATTAAAAAAAAAACTTCTTTTAATTTTTAAAACTACAGTTCAGAAACATTGTAGAACTAATAATAAATTAAAAAGCTGTCTTTTTTTAATTAATTACATGACAAATTACCTTTTGATCCTTGCATCCTTTGATCATCATAAATGCTTTTTTAGCCTCTGCATATCTTTCATCTTTGAGATGATAATACGGTGACTCTGGTATCCATAGGCACACGAGCATGTTGAATATCGGCAGTGTGGTTACAAACGAGTTGAGAACGTTATAAGATACGAAGGGCCCTATGCCGTACATCGCAAGGGCTCCGAGGTTTATCATCACTTGTACGACCATGCCTAATGCACCACGCACTTCTTTGTCCGCTATTTCTGTTAAGTAAATCATGGTCACCTGAAATATTGTTCTCATTTATAGTCCCACAAAGTCCAGCAAAAAGGCGCTGCCAGATAGGTATGGTTTAGTAGTAAAATAAAACAAGGATCTTATAGAGGTTGTGAGCTATTTTACTATAGTTTTAATTTGTATAGCGAGCCGAATAAGTTTATTAATATAAGTATTTTGTCCACTATATCAAGTAAATCATGGTCATCTTAATTATAATACAATTAAATGAAAGTGAATGATAATTAAATAATTATACAGATGTTAAATAAATAAAATGTTTGCATGGAATATTATAATATAATATTAACTATAAAATGATCCTAATTAATTTGCAAACAATAACAATGTCGTAACTAAGAAGATTTTGTTTGTCTCCAAAAATAACCTCGTTTATGCGAGATAAGTAATGATAAACACTTTGTTAATTACAGATATAAGCCCTTTGATAAAATGAAAGAATATGCGGTATTTGTAATAGTCTACCGAACAGAATCTAATTAGTTAATTATATGTATACAAATTACCAACTGAATAAAAAATATTAGAGTCAATTTACAATTAACTGTTTCGAATAAATTGAATAATCCTTGTCCATCACACGTTCTATCCAGACATCTTGTGAAAATCATTATTTTCATATTCAGACTTTATGATATTTATAAATAACTAGCTGTCACCCGCTACTCCATCCGCGTAGAATAAAAAAAAAACCTTTATAAGTAGCCCGTGTTCTTCCAGACTTTTTTCTATATGTATGCCAAATTTTAGCGAGATCCGTTCAGCCGTTTTGGAGATACCTTCAAAAATCCATCCATCTATCTAAACATTCGCATTTATAATATTAGTAAGAAGTAAGATATACTTACGACCGCAGTAATCCCATTTGATATACCCATCAATATCCTTGCGACATACATCACTTCAGGTGTTTTTGTGAATAATATCATGGCCTGAAACCATAATTCAATTTTTTTTATTAAAAATCATTTAATATTAGATTTAAAAAGTAAATTGTTTATAGATCTTTCTGTATATAAACATTCTTGAAATAATCCATAATAATAAGTTAATAACAACAAATTTTAAAATTAAACCTATTTCCATAACGTAGAAACCCTTCATCGAATTTTAATAGAAGCGTATAAGCGAGAAAGACAGACAGACAGTTACTTTTGCTTTTATAATATTAGTAAGGAAGTAAGGATTTTGAACCTACCGCACCTGCAATTCCAGGCACCGCTGCACCGCATACTGTTCGACGTCGACCCAGACGTTCGCTCAGCACCTGCCCGATGTAGCAGCCGGGCAGAGCGCCCAGCGCGGCCAGTGCCACCACCCATGATATCTGCGCCTAACACCAAAAAAACACCGACCTTAATATTCCACTGTAGTGCCTACAAGCTATTTTGTACTTATTTGATTTTAGCTATTTGGAACGTTAGCGCTAGTGGTGTAGGAAACTGGAACTAATAATAGGATTACAAATATAGTATCTGACGCTTTTAGGTCCGATTGAGGCAAAAGCTCTCGCTTCTAAGCAGCGATATCTATAGAGGTTAGTGAAATAAACGCACTTGTAAAACAAAAAAGCTTTATGTAGGATATGCTGGTAGTGCCCCCGAACACAGGCCCTTGGCGGCTGTACCTGCTAAGCGATAAGTCTTCATCAAATCATACAAGGAAAAGCTGAATAATGTCATCGCATCAATCGCTCCTATAATTCGTTGTTTTATGTTACGGTGTCGGCATCGAATTTTATAACTTGTTTAGCGTGTAGTCGCATGTGGTCGCATGTCAACATCAAAAATAAACATAGAAATCTAAATACGTCGACTTTTACAACTTGCCAAATATTTTCAAATAGAAATAGTAGAAAAACAGTACTGTATAAAGATGTAGTAAAATATTAAAAAAGAACTGGCAGACCCAAATGTAAACAATTTTTTTTAAATTACTTTTAAATTTTACGATAGGATATTGTTTGTGTACCTATTTAAATACTTTAATTTTCTAATATACGTACATTTGTCAGCTGAATATTTACTTCGCCGCTTTTGATCTTTGGAATCACCGGAGACGACCATGAAATAGTAGCTCCAGTAAACGTAAACGCTAACGAAGCTGTAACAAAGGTCAGCTGTTAACATTTCATTCACAAAACATAATTTAAATTTACCGCCAAAACTTACCGCAAATGCCAGCCATATATTGCACTCTTCTATTCGTTTTTTCAGTCATTTTATACACTGGTACTAAAACTATTTGACTAAAAAAAATCTAAACACTAATTATAAATTGCGGGTCAACAAGTGTCCGGGAGGCGGAACAACTGCCGTTCATCGCGCCTCGTCCGACACTGCGTTATCATTTAAAAATAAAATTTAACGTCAAACAATAGACAGTGCGTAATGTGTTATCTTTATATATTATTTCCATGTCTTTTGCAAATTGACATATTATTGAAGCATTTTAAACGTATATTTACGACATAAAAACTAGACTTTGGAACAGCAATTACACTTGACCTTGAAACCTAATGAAATACTAATCTTGTCATTTCATCCAACACTCCTTTTCCTCGTATTGAATAAACATCGAGTTTAAAGATAAGTATAAGCAGACTTTTCATAGATCTTTGTGTTAAGACAATTGTAGATTAAACATTGCTAGTATGCTTAGGAAAATATTTAATTAATAATCTTGGGTTTATTTTATTTAGGCGCGAATTATACTTAAAGCGTAGTTTTTTTGCTCTTTAATTAATAACAGAAAGCATATAGTTTAATTAGAAAATAGAAGATTCCAAGAACGAAATACAAGAAACCTGTACGTAGGTAGTATGTAAAAATATACGAGAAGGTATTTGCATCATGTGTGGGAATAGTTTTTTCTTTCTACTATCACTGACCGAAAACTCGGTCATTGACCCGCTCGTAAACGATACGCCACCTAACCCCATTTTTATTCACCTAAACATCTGTATATCGGTATAATATATAGTCATGAGTAACTCAACTAAAATTGATGACCATGATCAACTCATGGATCACATGTGAAGCAGAACTGAACCGGATTGTAGCTCAGCTAAATTTTTACCTGAATAGAGTTATGATTTGTGTAGAGGTACGAAATGTGAATCACCACACTGTTTGTGCATCCCGATGAACTTAAAGCTGCCAATTTTGTTATTAAGTTGCAGCTCAGCTCAAGTCTATGTGACCTAACTACTAAACCAGTCCAGAGCTGATTTAGACACTATCTATCTACAGTATGTTTATCAAGTTTTAACTAAAAGAAATATGGCATTGAAAGTGAATACCATACATAGATTGTGTATATTTAATTTTTCACCAATATACTTTAACCCAAAAATAGTTTTAATTTTCTAATATTGATCATTGGATATCATATCAGAGAACATTACAACCTAAATGGTTTGACTTATTTCATGGAATAGGGTTAAAGAAAGTGGCATTTTGTAATTTTTAATCATCAATAATTTTATACATTGGAAAAATATACTACCTTTGAAATGTTACTTTCCTTATGTCTATCAAAAATACAGAAACCAAGGTAGTTTTTGATATGAGATAATTTAAATTAGTAAATGAAATTAAAATAACTTTAAAACTTAAGTATCACTTATTTAATAAATAGATTTCCAGCCATGTTTTGCAGTGCAGCTGCACAGTGCAGTTTTTATTATTACAACTTTAGTCATCAGGCATTCTTTCAATAATTTTTCGAACTTGCATTGCCACCATGGGATTGTCTGTACAAATATCGGTAACATTGTAAGGAGGTAGTATTGAGACATTTCCAAAAACAATATTCTCATTTGACTCTGTCACTGTTAAGAGGTTTAATTTGAACCAATCCATTACTTTAGATTTTCTGGCTGCAATATCATTGTTAGTGTTCTCATCTTTCAGTTTTTCAAATGGTGATGTCACATTTTCTTGATTACTTTCAAACAGATTTGTAACTGCATGGCCAGGTAATAGGGTTATTTGAAAACTTTTCTCGCATGGTACCGCCAGAATAATACTAAAAAAATGAAGAGCATTTTTAGAGACAGAATGTTTATTGGTAACGTACACAAAATTACATTTGAGTATAAGACAATTTTTTTGGAAGAGAAAAAGGGGGAAATTATGCAAAATATGCTTTAAATAGTCCCTTCCGTTACAGTTACATAAAAACAAAGTAAGAGTACCAATAATAATAAAATAATAGGTTAATAAAATTTACCTTTTAGAAATGGGATCAATTGAATGGACAAATCCCGAAAATGAAGTGTTCTTTATTAGTTCCACCGTACAATATTTATTGACGAATTGCAGAAGAATTTCGGGATCATCTTTTAATCTTGAATAATTTTGAACACTTTTTTCGTCCATTTATATTAAATTACCTCGCTAAACAATTAAAATAACAACTCGTCAGAATTATATTTTCTTAGTGTTACTTATTACTAATATTTATTTTATTAAACTAGATAAATTAAAAGTGAAAAATTATTAGAAACGAATTTGAATTTCAAAATATTTCCGATCATATCTGACATTGACAGATTTACAGATTCAAAGAATACCGAATCTTATACCAAAGAGCAAGTAGAATTTTTATAAATCATCAGCCTATTTTAAAAATAACTTTAGGCATATAAAAAGACCTAATTTTATACTTTCAACTTGTGTGGTGCTGAAACTTGCATTCTATTTTTCGTCTCGTCCTTTCCCTTTTATTTTTTCTCTGTTTCAAATCAAAAATAGTTAGCAAAGGTAAGTGGTATTTAAATGGGCATGTGCGAACCCTTTGTGGAGTTTATTTTTAGGGTCCTCTGCATACTGTATTGGATGTTGGAGACGCTAGAGATCGGTGATCGCTTTACATTACAACCCCATCACAGAGCGATGGTTCGATTTTTGTTATTTTCAACCATTTGACCACTTATATTGAAAATAAAACATCATGTTTATGTTTACTAAGATTTATTTTTGCAACATTGCCATTATCAATCTTAAAATAAGATACATTTGCTTATCACAATTAAATCGAAAAATTAAACTCGAAAGGAATAATATTTTAATCCAAATATCAACATCACTCTAATAATCATAATTCTGGAAGTGATGATTATTAGAGTGATTAGTTGATTTGATACATATCCTACATCTAAAAAAAGTTGTATTAACCTAATATAATATTAAAACAAATATTATTAGCAAACTTAAGCAGCAAAAAAACATTGTTAACATGATTAAGAATATAATTTTCAATTCTTTAATAGTTTTAAAGAATAAATGAAGTTATCAAAATTATATTACTTCAAACAATGGATTCTTATTTTTTTAAAACAGCAGGACCTGGACTTTTATGACGCTGAGCATTACCTGTTTTTGGATTGGTATTCTTGGAAGCATTTGGTTGCTTATTTTCATTAGAATTTTTGGATTTATCGAACTTCTTAGGTTTGGGTGCACCTCTTTTAATGACAGCTTTGAATGAAATTTTTTTGTTAAGAATGAAATGTGAAAACATCTCCAACGGTAAAATGCCACATTTGCCAAGACGATAAACAGCATCTGCTGATAAAGTATCATTGTAGCAATGGTCAGTGAATATCACTTGCCTTCTGGGATCTTGCTTACTTGTAATGTGAATTTCATAAATATGCTGTTGTGCAGATTTTTTACTGCCAATGTGCTGTACAACCCAATAAACAACTTTTTGTAAAGTATCAATCTTCATAGTAACAATGAAAAGTAGATTGCCTTGTTGTATCAAGTATAGAAATCTCTCATCTTCATGAATGGAAACATTGCTTAGTTCGACCCCTGTTTCCATATTAACATTGCAGTTCTGAGGGTGACGCTCTTTAAAATGATTCATAATTTCTTTAAGATTACCTAGGTAAAATATGAAGATTAGAAAAAATAAACCTGTCCTATTATAAATTTTTGAATCAATATTAGTAAATGTTCATACCCAACTCTATAATTAAGTTATAGAGAAATAAAATTACCCATTTGGAAAGTAACTTTTGTTATATAAAAAACTTACCCGTCCAAGAACACTTGCCAAAAACAGCTCCAAGTGGGCAAGTCATAACTCGAAATATACATTCTTTGAGATGGTCATCAACTTCTTGAGTAACCATAGTGTAAACACAACCAAATGATTTATTTGGGCATGGTACATTTGCCTGCAAAAAAAACAATATTTTAGTATCACTAGGGCTTTAGTTACAACATCAATATTATCTGAAACAAATCTATTTGGTTAACATTTTATACAATACAATGTGTATCTAAAAAGCTCATAGTAAAGTTAACTGTTAAAATAAGGAATTAATTTATTAATTTTAGCAGAATTAAACATTAAACTAACCATACCTTAGCAATAATGTCTTCAAGTGTTAAATTTCTCATTTGAGTCATTGCTTGGCGACACATTGGGCATATTGAAGGGCATAAGTTTTTTGTACAAGAATTGCAAAGGCTATGCCCTGACTGACATTGAAATATAGGAGCAGACATTGTTTCAAAGCACACTGGACACTCTGGCAGCTCCATAGCAACGCCCGTAGCTCTTAAATAAAAATATAAACATGCATATTTTAAAACAACAATATTGATATCTTAGATAACATTCTCAATGTTAACATTGTGTCTGGATGAAATATCTATATACTTTTAAAATATTGTAAAACTTTTTACTTACTTCTTACCAACTTTTGCCTTTGCCATCTTAAGCCTGAAAACAATCAATTTTATTTATATCTCTAAATCCTTGAACCAAGCGTGAACAAAACAATGCTTCTATTAACCAAATGGTTATTGATAAGTTATTACATTTGTGTTAAAATGTACATTGTATTATTTTCTCGATATTATAAATAGCATACTAATTAGTATGCTATTTCCTCAAAGTAATTTTCGTATCATAATTCCTAATTGCACATTTTTTGCATAGCAAATTCAACATGGCGATTGACCACTTAGAACTAATTTTGTCGTATAATCTGGTCGACTTTGTTCAATAACTTAACTAGTATTTTAATAATAATTAAAAAACTAAATACACTTTAAAAAACCTGTAATGTTATATAAAAATGCACTTACACAGCTCCTTCTTTTCAACAAATAGAATCACTATAATCCAAAACGCAATAGAAACGGCGAGATGAATATGTTCCTACAAATTCCTGCGAAATACTTCTCAGTACAGTGCAACGTAATCCTTGAAACGTAATGGTTCGTTGAACGAGTAGCGATTTGTATTTTATCTCTTTTGTTTAATAATTTTGTGCGTGCAAATGATATTGAACTTTATATCTACCTCATATGATATATATTTCAATACAATTTAAAACTCGGGTATTCCCCTTTTCAGATTGTCAGTTGCCATTATTAAAGATGAATTTTTTTTTATGAAATAGCGGAAAATAAATTGTTTTCTAATTTTCATACCTAGTTAATTAAAAAAAAAAACATTGTGCAAAGTAAAAATATGATATTTTTCCAAGTCTAAAAAGCAATCTCAATGATTGCCTATCAGTCTACGACACTAATCATATCAATATCATATTTAAGATTAGAATCGAAGGTAAATTGAATAAAACAAAGCTACATAATTTAAAAGATAAGAAAACAAAATAGCTGGTATAAAAATTGTGTGCCAGACCGGTTGTTAATTTTATCAGTTTCAAATCTGACTGGACATGCTTAAAACAGTTTAGCTAATTAAAATAAAAGTAGAAATGATGAACCAACCGAATTTTGCTTTGATCGTATTAACGTATTTCTAGGCAGTTTGTTAAATGGAAGATTTAATTATCCATGCTAATATTATGAAGAGTTACGATTTGAATTTTTATATGTAACGAATAAACCCAAACACTGCTGGACAGATTTCAAAAAATCATTTTGTCATTAGAATGCCACATCATTTGGTATCAAAGTATATTTATTACTACTGTTTTTTGGACGAAGTCTCGGGCAAAAGCTAGTATGTAAAAGCTCCCGACTCCGTTAATTTGAAATTTTAATAATTAACCTTTAGGCTCTAAATTTTTTTTAAAACATAGTATGGACAGTTCAATTTTAATATTTGTACAGATATAGCTAGTAAAAATGTAAACTAATCATATTAAAAAGTTATGTTGACAATTATATCCTTATTTCAATACGCTATATTTTCACCTGTGAACAAAACCTTTGAAAAGTGCTAGGTCAAGGTTTAAAAATAAAATATTTTGTTATATTTTTTTTTTATTTCTTAAAATCTAATGGATCATTTCTTAGCCTTAGCTTCACGGGCTGCTTTCTTTTCTGCTGCGCGTGCAAGTTGTTTTGCAGGCTTCAGGTTACCCTTTTTACAAAACCTCTGGTTCCTCAAGAATTTGGGGTCCATCTAAAAACAGAAAAAACACTATAAATTATTATTACAACCACAGCAAAATTTTATTGTTGCAAACAACATTAAGCTGCCTTAAACAATGGCATACAATTTTTTACAATTTGGTGTCTTGTGAACGGCTTTTTATATCCAATCAGTGTAAAGTACACTGAGTTTGTCTGGCAAACAACAAATACTTATCTATTGTAAAATAGTGATTGCAGACTGTTGTCAATAATTAACCACTTATTTATTTAAAATTTTATAATTAATAAAGCAAATCAAAGTAATAGAGAGATGGCTTACAGAAATAAATTACATGAAAGATACTACAAGCAATTAAAATGTTCCATACAATTATCAATACACAACTTGAATTAAAAGAGAATAAACCATAGTTAATGCTTGGTAAAAACAATCTCGAGATTTCACAAGATATTCTTTACACACCGCACTAAGCTTATTTATGGATATTAGGATATACCCTAGCTTAAAAATGTAAATTTACTCACACCAAGAGTAGATTCGTGTCTGAACTTCTTAGGCTTTTTGATCCCATTTCTGTGAGCTTTGCGGTCTGAAATAATTTACAAAGAATTTTGAGACACTGCACATTCCAAAATGGTCAAATATTTTATTCGCTTTGATTTGATTATCAAACCATAACACTGTTGTATACTCACTTTGGTTGTGATTCGTATGGTTCTTAGACTTGGCCATTGCTTATGTTTTATGTTCTGAAAGTAAAAATATTGATATCAATATTAAACAACTATCACATTAACAAACTTGTGTAATTGAAACGCACTATAAATATCACGATTAAAAAGATATTAACAGAAACAAAATATTAAAGTAATCTAAACATAACCTACCGAAAGAACAACTTTGACAGAAAGGCTTTTGACAAGGAACTTTGACAGTTTGACACATTTTATCAAACAAAATGTCAAAGTTAATTTTAACGTCACACTCAAAGAGTACAATTTTTTTAATAAAAAAGTAGTTTTGCGTAACATATAGCATTTAATAGTAAACTTTGGCACAGAAGGCTCAACAGAGCTTACAAATTCTTGTTTGTCGCGGCCAGTCGCGGCACTAACATACCTCTTTCGTCTCTGATTTGATTCTATCAAGGTATGATTGGATTCGTTTCTTGATTACTCTAAATACACTCTGCATGCAGTTACATGTCACATGTGTGGCCTAAAGGTCTATGTTACCAGGTCATAAAATTAAAAAAAATGTCTCATGTCATTATTAAATGTCAATGTCATAGGCTACTGGCGACGTGTTGTGTTGGAGGTGTTTCGTATGAAAAATAAATGAAATAGATTCAAGTTCTATCAGATTTATAAATTGCAGTCGGATAAGTTGTGGCAATGGTGGTCTTAGAAAGTGAGGGTGATGATATAAAACAAATACCAGCTGAAGATGACAAGTCAGAGTCAAAATCAGTCAAACTCTTATCATTAGAAAGTATCCTTTTTCAAAGATTTTTGTAGTTAAATCACCATAATTATCTATTATATTTAGTTAGCCATAACTTACGTTTTTAGGGCTTATCCCATTACTTATGCCTTCGTTTTGATAAGTCAACGTTATTCATTCCTTCCGTTTTTATATTATATGTAACATACTCAATTAATTTTTGAATAAAGTAAGTCTATACAATTTTTTAACTTTCCTTGCACATGTTGATATAACGTATATCAACATATTTTCATAATAAAATAAGTAAAATAATGACATGTTTCATGTATCAATAAAAACAGTCACTGAAAATGTAACAATATGCTGCAAATAGATAGGCCATGCCACTGTCATCTTGTTAAGTTAAATAAGATTAGTTGTAAATGGTGAACTTGATTATATATTGTAAATTGAATAAGCCAACAGATTGTCTCCAGTTATTTAATTAATTATCCTTAACTAGTATTTCAACAGTATTTCGTGTGACAAAGGATGCCCAGCAACAGCATGGTCTGCGTCACGGCGACTACCAACGTTACCGTGGATATTGTTCGCGACGACTGCGACGGATGCGTAAAGTCTTGAAAATACCGCAGGTACAAATAACTCACTGAGTTTTTTTTACATGTTACGTCACATGTTGAAACAAATTGTATAATAGCCAAACTCACAACACTTTATATGCTTACTAGGGTAGATTTCGTATGAGAAAACTACACTTGAGCTACCCAGTTAAAGAGTCCAATTGTAATAATAAAATATTTGTAGACCATAGTGTGCAGTTTCCATTGGAGAATATAAATTAGTTTGATACACCTAGAGAATTTACATGTTTGTTATAAATTTAGGGCGATCGTCGTCATTACCGTCGTCGTGATGTAACGCCTGCGCACTTGACCGCATCGAGTGCAGAGAGTCGGCTGCTATGCGTTCCTCTACTGCAGGCGGAGCGCGCCTGGGCGCACGCCATGCAGCTGCGCCAGGAGGCCAACACCGAGCCCAGGAAGAAGTTCCATCTTGTTTCACGATTGAAGAAGGCTTATGCTCATGCTCAAACTTTGTTGCAGTTGTGTGAGGTGGTTTATATTTCAATACACTAAGAAATAAAATAAATATTTATTACAATACTAGGATTTTATAAATTTATTGTTACTGTACTTTAAAAGTCAGTGGTTTCTAAGTATTTTAAGAGTAGCAAAATTAAAAAAAAAAACTACTATAATACAGATTTTTGTGTTCTTTTAACCACTAAATTCAGCATAGATACATAGATGTAATAGAAAAATATGTCTGTACTTATGTATTTGTGCGTTAGAGTGGTGCATGCGACGCGCGCACGCAGCTGGAGGCGCGTGCGTACGCGGCCTGGCTGGGCGGTGCGCTGCTGCTCGAGCTGCAGCAGTGGCGCGGTGCTGCCGACAGTCTGCGGCAGGCGCAGCTCGTGCTCGACAACCTCTGCAGCGCGTTGCCTGACGACGAGCGACATGTCTACAAGCAAAAAGTAAAGTCGCAAATTCAAATTATAACTCCTGTTTAATGAGACCTAAAACATAGAGATGACAATAATGTTTCACTTTCGACGTATAATTTGTCAACCCATATATACCTATGTTTGCTATGACAGGTTTTCGACCTTATTGTTTTGTGAATGCGACTTTACGATAACAAACTTTGTATTGGTCCAGGTGGAAGAGCTAAAGCCGAGCTTGCGATACTGCGCGTACAACATCGGCGACCAGTCGGCAGCGGGCGAGCTGGTCGCCATGCGCGGACAGGGCCTCATCGAGAACCTCGACACGCTTATGGCACAGGCAAAGTATGTATCGTTTATTATTCTTATCAAACAATTTTTTGGTCCTACTTCATATTGGTTCATTTAAAAAAAATTCTATCATTTCACAGAGAATCACGTTCTGGAATAATGCATGAGGTAGAATGGCGTGGCCGCCGCGTCACCGTGCGACCCGAGAAAGTGCGCCTCTTCCTCATTGCATTGCAAGATTTGGACAAATCTGTAGAAAGCGCACAAAACGTTGAAGCTAAAATCGAAATCCTGGAGAACATTCTTATGGACTGCAAGGATGCTATATCCGCTATCAAAGATGAGATAAAGAACGATCCCAAGCTGAAGTCTGGATCCGAGAACCAGCAGTCGAGCGTCCACTACCTGCTCTCTTACTTGATGTACCTGCGTCTGATGCGCACCATTGATAGGAACAACTTGCTGGTGCAGCAAGCAGAAGAAGCTCGCAAGAAAAACGCACCGTTAGACGGCAAGAAGGTGCGGCCGCAGGACTTGACCAGGCTGTACGAGATAATTCTGCAGAACTACACTGAACTCCAGCAGCTTCCAGGGTTTGATACTGACGAGGCATATCAGAGGGAGATCGAAACCGCAATGAGCGCCTATCGCGCCTTCCGTTGCTATTACATAGCGCAGGTGTTAACCGGACTGCGCCGCTTCAGAGAAGCACTTGCTATGTTGGAGCGCAGCACCGGCTACATCACCGAGATTACGTCTAAGATCAAAGATATTCACTTGAA